AGTTAAAAATAATAAAAATAAACAATATTCTTCTTTTTTAGTATATCAATTATAAAATATCCAAATTGTAAACAATCTGAATGGTTCGAAATACACCACTGAAACGTTGCGATACGTTTTGATGCTTCATAAATATTGATRTTTTCACCAATCAAACCTCACGTTAATGTGAGTCATTGATTTAAGTCTCTTTTTATAACTATGCCTCAATCTCGTTACTGTGTGTACAGCTAGTCAAAATGAGTAGGTATAACTTTAATTTTATTTATTAGTTTAACTATCGATATGTATTTTAATATCTGTTTTCCGTGGCTATATTTCCATAAAACTATAGGTCAGTGTCGACTGATCGGAATTATCATGTAAGCATAATGTCAAATTATTTGATACTCCTGAATACTATTATGTATCCGAGTTAATGTACTTGTTTTTTTTATTTTCATCTATAATGATTCATTGCCAAAACCGTTCTCGTTCGGTCTAAGTGGACTTGAAACAATAGAATCACCAATGTTGAAACCTGTGAATGTAATAGGTACGAATCTCACAGATTACACAACTACGGGTGATTATTTGTTAGCCATTGTGAACCACAGCCAATAAATCTATACTCCATTGTCTACAATCGGCAAGTGTTTGCCATAGTAAATTACACTTATTAGTATATAGTATTATTTTAGAAATTCTTGTAAAAATGTGCCACGCAAGCGTGCTCAATGTTGAGCAAATATTAATTTATTTTATATGTTTAATTAAATAATTAATAAATTATACTAATATATTACTAATATACGTACAAATCAGCGTTTGTGTTTTTTTTTATATAATATATATAATATAGAAAACATAAAAATAATTAATGACAATAATAATAATAATAATAATAATAATAATAATAATAATAATAATAATAATAAATTAATAATAATAGTAATAAACAAATATATATATATTATATATATTTAATATTTATAGATAAAAAAATATAAATACAAATCACAGAAGAAGTGAGTTTTGTTTAGCAAAAATGTTTTTATAYTTCTTTCTTTTCCTATTGTACCTGAACGTAAATGCTGGGAAAAAAATACGCGAGTCTATACATACGGTGAACGCACGTTTTATTGTATGCAAATAGCTATATATTTTATTGTGCACAACAGCTGTTACCCAGTAGAAAGTAAGCAAAGAGTCTATTACGGTGTTTGAATGACCAAACAGGCAGTCTCCTATTTTTGGTTTGAAAAAGTAAAACAGGTATAGGCTTAGCCCAAACTCATCAACATCATCGTTATCATCGCTGTATCTTTCGTTGGTATTCGAGAAGTTTTTTTCAGTACTTCACAATATTATGTTAATTTGATATTATGCGCGACTGAGACACATAACACGCGCGCTAAAAGTAGAGTCATTTATGCAAAATKTGTGTGAAAAATATTCACGTTAAGTGATCTCTGACATAGCAAAATAAATATTTGAATAACAATAATAATAATAATTTAGTAAATGTAATCTTTTTCGAATATACTGAGGTCTGAAATAAAAATAATATTATATCAATAATATATTATCTGCATACACTGGCATTTAAATATAACCTAATTTATTATAGTATATTATTGAAATATTACGATTAAAGATGGTTTACTAAAATGATAATAATTTCATATAAAAATAAAYGTGCAGAAATTTAAGAGGCAGAATAATATTGCTAAAAATTATCCGATCTTATCAATATTATTATAAAGATGTWCTTTGATTCGTTTCTTCGTAATTACCCAGGAATCAGTAATCACCTTTAAAGAGATGGCAGTTTACGTAGGAATATTGTATAGGTACCTACATTTTTTCTTTCWTATATTTTGTWACCCCCTCCCCCCTTCAATTATAACTACAATTATATATATCGCCTTCGTAGTTCGTTCTGTTTTGCGTGCATCCGAAGAACTCCAAAACGTTGATTACGACGCCTCTAGAAAACGGGTTGTAGTATTTGCCTCTGCTGTTTTTTAGGTACGCGTACTTTTTATGGTTAATCATCTCGTTTCTGGTTAAATTCATCAATGCGTTGATACACTATACAGAACAAAAAAAAAAAAACAAATATAAATAAGTATTTAAAAACATCGTTGGAACTTTATCCGTATATAAGATGATACAGGTAAGTGCATAAAATTCATATACATATATTATTAGATTATTATTGACTGTATATTAATGTAAAGCGTGTCTCTAACAATGCATTTTATATTTTATAATTTTTTTGAATACACGACTTTAGAAATTATAACTAATTCTATTAAAGAGTGAAATATCAAATTGATATATCGATATGAATATCTAAGAAATAGGATTATAAATTGATTTTYCATTAAGTATTAAAAAATAATACTTATGAGGTGAATTTTAAAATTAAGATAGACTTTTGATAGATAAATACAGTATTATAATGCATTTGTACCTAATTAGATGGGTATAGAACTATGTGAGATAGAGAATTTATTGAGTTAAAAAATATCAGTAAATTTGACCAATTAAGTGGTAAAAATGGTAAAATATAATCGAAGATTAAATAATAAAATATCATAGAGCTATATTTTTTTTTTTATAAAATACAAATGTTATTTCTATAGTTGTGTGCTTTGGCAATTAATTTAAATATGAATAATAATAACAATATTGAACTATAATAGAATCTGTTTTTCTGTATCAGCCAAGTATATAGGTACTTATTATGAATATTAAACTATTCATAATATAATTTATAAATAATTAAAATTATACCATCATAATTAACACAGTATTTACCTTTTTTTRTTTATTCAAAATTCAAAACATTTATATTTATGTACTTTTAAAAATTACTTATACACAGTACACACACAGTGTCTACTGTCTATAAAATATAAAATATAAAATATTATTAGTAGAATAACTATTGTATTTTTATTTATCATCGGTTGATGAAAAATATATGAATATCTCTTTACAAATAGGCCTTTTTGAACTGCATTTAGTACGATGGGCCACGAAAAATTCTTTTTCTTAAAAAATAATTCACCAATAAAAAAAAAAAAATGGTGAAATTTACCTCGTAATTTTATTGCACTCACATGTGTAGGTATAAAAATAACTGAGACAGTGAGACACCCTGTAATTTGTTCTTATATCTTCCTATATTATCATAATGTATGGTTATTATATACATTACTTACGATCGTCGCAGTCAAGGCCCAGCTCAGAATACCAAAAGCGAACGCTTGCAAAAGTGCCAGGACGTAAAAAACGTTAAACCCTTCTACGTTTATCGTACAGCACACCAGGTAAATCACATACGAACAGTTCATTGCTAAGCTGAWGACGAACCAGAAGAACCACGACCTATGAACAAATCCAAACATTCACGTACATGTTATCCGTTGATTTAGGTTGCAGGGTTGGGTTTTAATATACTTATATAGCTAWTAACTATACAGTGACACGCACACACATAATATTTTATTTTTATTTATTTTTATTTTAATTGAGCCTCAACAACAAAGKTTATTGGCTTTAAACATATAATATTTKTATATAGAGAGGTAATGTATAGGTACTAATTGCTACGAATCACTCACAACTATATTATAAATATACAAAATTATGAAACCGTACTAGCGGAATTAGCTTTTCAATATTGTAAAAAAAAACAAAAATTTTTTTTGAAAACAAAAGATAATTGTAATATTATATTTATATAAGAAAACCCTATATCAGTGGTTATCAAATGGTGCAGACTGGTGGACTAATTCTATATTTCCCGCAGACAATTTTTAAAATAAAGTAAAAACTGTTAATATGATACGTTCTAGTGTTGTAATTTATCATTTTTATTCATTAGTTCTTATTAAGGTCAGAAATGTTGAGGTCCTGCAAAAAATTCTATATTTCTAATTTAGCCCTTAAAAAATATTWATTGGTTACCCATAACCTATACCTACAACAGTACCAACGTATAGTTATAGAGATCAATCGTAGTGATAACACCTATATTAAGTTACTATTGGTAAGGTTTTCAACACAGGGTTGCCCGGTTATGCAATATTTCTACCACAAACTATATTCCATATACATAGGACTAGGACTGTAGGATCCCTAAAACAACTAAATTTGGGGCTTAAAAAAATAAATACTTTGGTTAAACTATACCTGTTGCTGAGTCCGATACAATTGATAACAAATTGGCAGTGGTGGTCGAAATGTTGGACGCATCTGTTGCACAGCCTGCAGTGTTTAGCTCGCAAGGGTCTTACGCAGCGACATGTATGACAAAGCCTTGACAGAATATCTCTTTTGGTACCCATGTCACATGGATAAAATGGTAACTAAATAAATTCCACAAATCAACTCAATATTTTGATTAAAATAATATAATACATTTTTGAATTGATAAGGATCATTTTKAATAAAGAAAGGCGAGATAAATTATTATAAYCAAATGTAAGTATTATATAATTTTCTCGTTGGTATAAATTAAGTGTATTTCATTACTCATATSATTATATCATCATAGTGTATAATTATGTTAAGAGTTCACGTATATTTGTCATGTCATGAATTGTTTCCAAATTTGTATGCAGATTTAATTAAAATAATGATACGTAATA